AATAATCATATATTTTTTAACACAACACCTTAATTGTTGGTAGCCTTCCAAGATTTCTAAAATAGTAAGCTAAAGATTACAATTTCAGATTTTTTTTATTAAGTACAGTAAAGATATGCGAAATATATGTTTATTATGCAGAGACAGGAGAGAAATTTTGTTATTATTAGTAGTGATTTTGTGCATTATAAATAGACTTGAAGACTCCATTTTCGAAAATATATACGTCTCTTCTATAACAACCCATTTTGAAAAGACTAAAGCAGAAGATTATTAAATAAAATTCAACTGTCCCGAATAAATCTTTAATAGATCATTGCAATAGGCCTACGAGTTTACGGCCCAACCACCCTACTCTGCTTGAAATGGCAGATTGAGGTGGCGATGGGAAACGTGGAGAAAACTTTAATTTCATATTTCTCTGTTTTTCTAATTCATATTCCGTGTCTCATTTGTAGTCAGTTCTCACAATCCCATGATTCCTCGACCCTGCTATTAATTTCACCTTTTCATTCCTCATTCCTCACCAAGTGGCTTCCCTTTGCTCTCATTAACATTTTTTGACCAACTTTCATTATTCTCTATTTGCTCACACACAACGGAAAATTGAGGTGGTGGAGGGATGGGAAGAGAGAACTTTAAAAGTTATTTTTCTGTTTATTTTTATTTATTTTCTTGTGTTCCATATGTCATCAATTCTAAGCATCCCCGTGCTTCCTCAACCATGCTATTAATTTGCCCATATCCTTATTATTTCTTCGGTAATTGGCTTGCCTTTACTCTCACAAGTCAAAGCTGGCTTTAACCACAATATTTCTTCACCAACTTTTGTCGCTTCAATATATTTTGCTTCTGTTGTGGATAAAGCAACACACTTTTGTAGTTTTGACTGTCATGAAACAACCCCCCCCCCCCAACTGTAGAGAAATCCTAAAGTAGATTTTCTATTATCAAGATCTCCTACCATATATGAGTCTGTATAACCTTCCAAGATTAGATCAGCTCCCCCATAGCACAGACATATCCTTGATGCCTTGATGTACTCTTAAGATACCTGAGAATCCACTTGACTGCCTCCCAACGTTCCTTTCCAGGATTAGAGAAAAATGACTTACCATGCCTACTACATGAGCAATATCTGGTCCTGTACATACCATGGCATACATCAGGCTTCAAATTGCTAAAGAATAAGGTACCAATGACATCTTGGTGTGCTGTCGCAAGCACCCAAAAATAGTTTTTAAACCTCTAAAACTAATGTAGTAGTGGACGTAAGGGTCGATCCCACGAAGAGTGTGTAATTCAATATTTTATGATTCGTACAATGATTGGGGGGTTTTTGTATGCAACAATTGTAAATAACATAATCAATAACAATGAAAATTAAATTAACGAAATCAATCAAATAACTAACCTTGGTCTAAGTCCACATCCACCATCGGAAATCCACAATTGATCATAGATACAAGGATAATTCAATTCATATTTCGAATATTCATCGTT